TGCTGTATTTGGGAATCAAGCGCACACAAGGTGGCGGCTGGACCGTAGTCCGCTCCACACTGAGTGCATGGAACCGCTCTTCGAGCCTAGCACGGCCACAAGAATCGTGCACCCCGTCCCCTCCAACAACGGCCAACTGTCTCCTGAAGCCAGTATAAACGATGTGGTGGGTAATAGACAGGTAGGCACCTTGTCAAAATGCAAATCAAGCAGAGCCATACCGGGGATGTCAAACAACAGCCAATCACTTGAACTGACACTCTCAAATTAAACATATCAAATAAAACATGCTTAACTCCTCAAGGAATTAGCAAATGAAATAAATGTGCTATCAACAAATCCGCGATAAATTCCAGATGGCAGCAAACGCGCTAAAAACATACGCAACCAATGCGAATAAAATCATAGCAATGAACCACTTTTCGTTTATGCGACGTGTGTAAGTAAATAAAAGATTATTCAGATAGACACAATTTGACGTGACAAAGTAGGCAATATATAGCAAACCCATCACCTGAAATAAATAAACTCAGCACACAAGCACGCGGTTAGTAACTCGAATGCAGCGTCCCTACCAACCCTGCGCCAGTTCTGCCTACGTTCTCTACAGCACTCGTCGTCGTTTCGGTGTTGGCCCGAATGGCCTCGTTCATGGCTCACTAGGCCTCCCTGACTCAGGCACTCGCGACCACATGGGTTACAGCACCATGTGCTCGATGTCAATGGAGTACAACCCATCGGTGCCTGCTGCTTCCGCAATTACCGCTTCTACTCAGCATGCACGAGGGATTTCTCTTATACCTCGGCATTGCCCTTTGTGATCAGATCACGCCATGCACGCTGATCAATTGTCTTGGATTCCCAAGACCTGCAATCAAGGTTCGAACGTGAGAGGTTTACTTTTATCATGTCCTGATAACGAAGCTTTGGTCTCTACATGCCGCTTCCCTGCACTCAATTGACCATATAACAGCTCCTTCGGAATCCGCGCCGAGTCCATACGGCATACATATCTGAGCATCTCAGGTATCTCAGCAAAAGTATCTAGGCACTGCATACATTCCACTTCGGCGCAACACCGTGTCTGCAACTATGTTGCACCAACCGATGCGCAGAATCCGTCGCAGACACTGTTGATGGATTCGCCAGATATCTCACGCCTCGTCGGTACGTCGTCCGCTTTGCGCTGCCGTATAGAAGTAGACCATCAGCATTATGCCAATGGTAAGCTGGTGGTTGCTTCACACTCGGTACTCAAGCTGTCTTCGATACGCGGATACGAAGCTCACAGTGTATTTGCTGGGCAAACGAAACCATCCTCCCAAGGTAGCGAAAGCGATAACATTGCAGATTGCACCCCCGGTGAAGGCTTGCTTGTGTTGATGCTGACTCCGAATTTGACAGCTGTCGAAGCCAGAGCACTAGTCGTGTGCTGCAACACATCCGCGCTGAGTGCAAACAACGCCTAGTCATCAGCAAACTGCAACATACGATTAGTTGTCTCACAGACTAGAGTTCTCACACCGAAACGACGGATATTCAGCAACCCACCATCAGTACGGTGCTCTACAAGAACACCCTAAACACAAGCGGCATCTAAAGCACAAGGCAGCATCGCATGAAGATAGATATTAAACAGGGCAGGAGCTAAGACACTGCCTTGCTTCACACTAAAGACAACTGCAAAGTCATTCGAGGTCTCTCAACTCAGCTGCACCCTCGCCTGCATACCATTGTGCAGACATGCAATTAAACTTACAAACTTACTCAGACAACCAAACTTACCCAACACCAGCCACAATGCCTCGCGGTTCATCTTATCAAATGTCTTGGTGAAATCAACAAAAAGCGAGTACAATGGTTGGTTTCGTTCTCTGCATTTCTCCTGCAACTGACGAGCCGCAAACACTATATCGATGGTGCTGCGACCCGAACGGAATGCACACTGCTCCTCCGCCACGTTAGGTTCCACAACCTGATGACGAGGCGGTTGAGCAGGATTCGGGCAATCACCTTGCCCACACAACTAAACAAGTTGATGCTACGATAATTCGTGCAACATTGCTTGCTCCCTTTGCCGTTGTATAGTAGTAGCAAAAGGGCATCCTTCAGCTCAGCAGGCACCTCCTACTCATTCCATACACGTTGCACCAAGTTGTACAGCGCAGTCAACAACGCGGATCCGCCGTGTTTCAACACTTCAGGCGGCCCAGGCACACTTGCAGTTTCGCAGCTGAGCAAGTGCTCTCTGCGTCTCATCCAGTGTCGGCGTGTCCGTCAGGCTCGTCTCCATATCGTGCTGCTTCAGCCCGTTCAATGTAGGCCAGTCGATCTCTGAAAGGTTGTTCAAGAGACAGTCAAAGTGTTTGTGTCATACCTTAATTATGTTTTCATCTGTGTGCAGGTATCGTCTGAACTACCATCGATCATCGTCTTCAACTGCTCCAATCTCGGTCCATACACCGCCTTCAAGGAGTCAAAGAATTCCTTATGTTGGCGGCGTTCACGGTAGCATTTCATCTGCTTCGCCTTCTCCGTCCACCATGCATTTTTAATGCGACAGAGCTCTGGGGTCATTGCCGCGTCTGTCTCTATGGATTAGTATGCGGCGCATAAATGGCAGCGGAATCTATTCAGCAACGCAAAATCGCCGGCCGTTCGAATATCAGCTTGCAACTTCAGCGAAGACATCACCCGAAAAAGATTTGTGCTTACCTGAAGCGACGCCTGAGGCCCGCAGGTGACCTAGCAGTGTTAGAAAATTCGAGTGAACAAGCTCTGACTTCCAGCACTGAAAGTGCGTCCGCATTGGCGTAGCACTTAGCTTCCGTATCTAAATCTGGGCATACGCCTATGCCGAACTCGACGTGTGAGGCTCCTACGGATCTCAAACGCTTGGAGTGCAATGTGAAAGATGTCCGCATTCTACTCTCCAGTCTTGACGGCACTAAACTTTCTGGACCCTTCGGACTCTATCCGCTAATTCTAAAGTCCCTACCGATCATTATCTCGCCTGCTGTTCAACAGATCGTTGTCTGAAGGTGTATTGCTGAGCGACTGAAAATGCTCGGTAGTGAAACCGAATCCGAAGAACGGTGACACGACTAAAGTGGACAATTATTGACCCATTTGTCTGACCTCTATTTTGACAAAAGTGCTCGAGACGATAGGGAAAATGGGTCTTATGTTGCTAGTATAGCCGAAATACCCAACGCCCGCACAACACGGTTTCATGAAGAGCCGCTCCTGCATCACCAACCTGCTGTTGACACGTCACGGCTGGTTGCAAGCGTTAAACCGGGGGAAATCAGGGGATGTTATCTACATTGATTGCAGTAAAGCTTTCAATAAGTGGACCATGGGATCCTCCTCTACAAGCTGAGGATATGTGGTGTTGGTGGCGCACTACACCAGTGGATCAGTGACCTTTTCATTGAAAGAAAATAGGCGTACAGGTGGATGATCACTTAATGGATTGGTACCCGTCCACTAGCGGCGTACTTCAAGGCACAGTATTAGGACAAATTTTGTTCCTGATCCACATCAACGTAGTACTTCAGCTTCTCCAGTCACCCTGTGCATTGTTTGCAGGTGACCCGAAGATTTGGTGGGTTATTGATTCTCCCGATGACTATGACGTCCTTCAGCAGGATCTCTACCGCCTATCCTTGTGGTCTGCAGAATTTGATCTCCTGGTCAAGTCGCCATTTATGAGTCTGGGGAAGGATGGTAATAGGTGTATGTACACTATACCCGGTCAACCGCTGCATCCCACAAGCTCCGTAAAGGATTTAGGTGTACTCTCACGCTGTGATCTGACGTTCCTCGATAGACTGTACAGAAACGGATTGCGCCTGCTTTAGGCACTTAGCCGCCGCTTCTGCACTTGGTCTGAAGAGATTACCACTATCATGCTCTCTTCCACAGTAAGATCGGTGCTCGAGTACGGCTCACCCGCCTATTCTCCGATCACAATAGTTAAAATGTAGAGATTGGAATGGGTTTAGCATGTAGCTACGCTGCTCACCCCCAGTTTACGGGTATGTCGTACGAGGACCGATGTAGGACTTTATACCTTACCATATCGTCGGCTACGAGCTGATCTCATAATGACGCACCGGATATTGCACGACGGCCACTTCCCTATGTTGATGCCACTGCTGCACGTTCGCGCACCAAGCAGCACACATGGACACCGGTAAATACTGGTGGTGCCGGATTTGAAGCGTACCGCTTACCCTTTATGCTTCGAGTGTCGCGTGGTGAAATGGTGGAACAAGTTTCCGGAAACACTAGTAGAGTCGAAATTTAAGAGGTTCCTCGACACCCACTTTGCGGATTACAGGTATAGGAAACGTATCACTCCCAGGTAAGATGTACTACAGCTCTAATATGCTGTCACCGCGCATTATCAGCGACTTGATCCTGTGCAGGTGCTCGACCTAACTACGACGGAGCAACACAGATTTGTATCTTCTCACTCTACTTTCAGTATTCAGTAAACATATGTGGTGCGTGTAGAAACCACGAGTGATCTGTTAGTATAATTAACCTCACCATCATATCGTTTTACCCGCCTTCGTATATCGTCGTTGTGTACACCTCTGCTCATATCACACATGAGCGATGCTCTGTATTCAGCGATTACCCAATATTTATTGACGCCTAAACTCTCTGGATCAAGGTAGTCAGCTCTCATCACCTCGGACTTTAACGTGTCCCTGTGGGAGAATATATATAGACTTTAGAGACAATGCCAGACCTCTTCTGGTAACATGGATGTCGTACATCTCACATATTTTTGCAGCGGTGATCTCCATGGATATTTAGTGACACTTGTCAGTTAAAGATTCATTGTACTTATGTATAAAAGTTGGCACCCTTCTCTTCCAAAACCCCCTTTACCACTGTTTCATACGTCCAGTTTTCTGCTCTCATCACCCGTCTACACTTCCCACCTCCTCCCCATGCACAGCGTCATTTCTTCCTGTCGCACAGCTATGCAGCACATTCTAACTGACGTTTCCAGCTTGAACATGCTGATCGAAATTCGTCTACGTTGTCTGCGCCTTATTGAAAAATGGATCTCTACACATCATCCAGAACCAACTAAGCTTCTGTCAACTACTGCTCATCTAAATGATGAGTGGGCTGCTCCCTCCCCTATCACAGACATCAGCGTATCGTCCGTGTCTGGTCTTGTTCCGCATCCGCTATCCTCCAAGTCGATGAGCTTGTGGGATGAATTATTCCGTGAACTCTTCCTCTCCCGAATATCGGTAAGTCATTCTCACACCGATTGCTATTTTTTCGACTATCCACTTCGAATGGTATGTTGTAGCCCCATCACACACTGAGTGGAACCACACTGTCTGAGCTTAGCACTGTCATGCGGACTCCAGTTGATTGTCACGTGCATGATGTCTTGGCTGTCTGCATAGATTTTATCCGAATTCACTATTATCGGTATAGTATCATATCATCGTCGATCTTAGACATTTTATCAAGTAATGCCAGTAACAGACGCAGTAGGTCATCGATCATCATACCGCTTTTTTGTCCATACACATTCCTACGCATCTGATGGCAGTTGCTCACCGCTTTTTTTAGTAACTAAGCAAAATTCATACTGATTCATGCTCTAGAGAAGTCTTTATCGACCACATTTATGCTCTTCACCTCGGAGTATAGATTAAGAAAGATTGTACGTCAGTCGAATGCGTCCGCTTTCGGTCCACGTTATATGTCGCACCCCTTCGGTGTCTAAAGTGCCTCAGTACATTCGTCAGACCAATGAGCGGAAGCGGCCGATAATCCACTGAGTCGAGGAACATTTCTTTCGACAGCAACAATCGGAAAACGCCTTCCTTAGCACAGACGGTTGTGAGCTTCGTAGGCCGGTCTTGTTTGATTATTAAGATCAATCTTGTGTGGGACGAGATTAATTGGAACGTACTTCATTGATAATCACTTATTGATCCGCATGTACCCTGTCTGTTTCACCCACTGACCCTATCAGTGGACGCGTAATCCCCATTGTCACTCTGCATAGCTCTTGTTGTCAAACCGTCTTGTTTTTTCTTATATATTGACGCTTAACTCACGGCCATGGCATCAACTACGTAAATCTCATGGAGTTGGGCCCGTTGCATCTTATGCCTTGCTGTTGTATTTTTGCATCGAAATCCCTCCCACTCGCTTCGCTTATCTTCTGTTTACGTTTGAGCAATGTCTAAATTTCGTTCCCCTTCTCTCAATTGATCTCTATCTCCAGAACTTATGTGGACAAGCATTAGACAACGTTCTAAAGGAGTGGACCACCGAGGTGCTGGAGTTAATGGAGACTGCCTCTAAGGATATGACGTCCGCTTCGCAGACCACGGATCGCATGAACTCAGCAGAAGTAGGCTTTCGCTTTGACGGCTGTTTTGTGATGTATTTGTTACAGTATTTTGCTTTTAGCGTGGCTCTCTTTTCAGCTGCATATCGGTCACTGAATATTTGAAAGGTTAGTGGCATCATGTATCAGCAGTCACGGAGCCTACGATCTGATACTTAGGCCCAGTGGACTCAGAGGGTTCAGTAAATGGGGGAGGCAGGGGCGGCAAGTGACTTCTACAGGCTCGTCGACCTGATCCGCATCACTTCGTTATACGATGTAGAATAGCACACTTGCTCTAATTCACAATAAAGGAAGCCGCATGAGCGGACCACCTTCAGCAACACTTCAGTTGATCCACTGGCCTTTTTGGCCGGGATTGGGCCATGACCGGTTAGTTTAGAGGTTCCATCACAAACTGAAGTTTGAAACCCCGTCACAGCATTAATGGTTTGCGCCCTGCTAACCCGGCTTTTATCGTGTCTTCACAGGTGAGCTAGCCCACCTGTCTAACTGGGCATGTGGGACGAGGCCACTCCAGTCGGCTGCTGCTTTTCGATCATACTTGTAGCCGCGATATTTGTATTAGTTACAGTGTATCTGCTTGATACAAGTGGTGACAAAGCTCCTGACACTCATTCCATTCCACCTCATTGCTGTGGATCAGAATTCCAGGACTAGCGTGGATCAGGCTGTATGTATGAATCGTGTTTTCAGTTGGCAATGAGACCTTACCTTAACGTGGTGCGATGGTTTGTGCGCCTCACTGATCCATTGAGCTATACTGGGTGGTGCTTCTGGCACCTTCAGAGCTAATCATACCAGGTTGGTCAATGGTTAGAGGCCAGACAAACTTAGTCTCTTGGCCCTCCAGGTTGGGGGTTGGAGTAATTGTGGCTCCGTACTCCATAAAACGGGCTCTCTGTAGTCCAATGCCAAAACCCCGCTGCCTTGCGGTAAGCTTTTTAAACCAAAGGCTTTAATTGAGAACCCTAATCGTTCTCCTTTCTATGCCTGGGCAGCCTGACAGTATTTTGCCCGCGCAATACACTATGACTTTTCCTTCTAACATTCTCTTGATGCCCTGGCCGTCGCACAGGATAATCAACGGTGCCCTGTCTACTGCATCGAGCAGGGTGGATAGGGGTTTGGATGCTACTGCTCAGGCCTTCCCGCCTTCTTATTCCCCTTATTACACTTTTTCATCCTTAGCGTCCCGTTCCAACTTCACTTTCATCCCCCTGTTTTCAATTTCCCAATTCTTGACCCTTCCTTGCTTGAATAGCCGCTTGTCTTCTGGTTTCAACTCACACACAATCGCAGGACGTCGCTCCAATTCAGTTGACAAGTACATGTTCAACCAAGCGGACAACGTCAGTCCATCTCTTTCCCTTTGGAGTCATCGATCCTCGCAAAGAATGTCATGCTTCAACCTGCGCACTTTGCTACAGATTGGCCAACAGGCAGCACTTGTCCGAACACTCGAGACCCTCTCGATCCATATTTGCTGTTTCTCACAAACCCGCCTGCAAAATTCGAGCTCCGTGGTTACCCTGCGATCCCCTACATGTGACACTGGCGGCACATTCTCATTGCGCCTATCTGGCAAAGATTCAGCTTCAAATGCAGCTCAAGCTGGCGTCGGCATTGTTTTGAGTGCCTGGGCTGAAGATGCGCTGATCAACTGGATCCCATTCAACAGCCGGATGTGCGCCGTTAGGTTGGCTGGCTCGTTCCAGGCTTCGAAGTCGCGCGGGGACAAACGGTGCCTGTTTGTCATCGTGGCTTACGCCCCCACAAACTACAGCCCTGATTCGGTGAAAGATGATTTCTATCACCAACTTAACGATCTTCTTCGTTACAGAATAAGTACGGATACTGTGGAGCTTGATGGTGATCTAAACGCCCAAGTCGGAAAATTGTCCTCTGCTGAGCTTCATCTGGGCGACCAACATGGTGTAGGCTCCCGTAATGATAACGGTGAGCAGTTGCTACGCCTGTGTGTAGGTGTTCGTCTCTTTCTCGTGAGCACTAACTTTCGACACAGCACCCGCAGACGAGTGACTTGGCGCCCACTAGTCTCGGGCCAGCTATAGACGCAAATCGATCATATCGCGATTGCTTACCGCTGGAGAGGCTGTGTCCAAAACTGTCAATCGATTTGGAACTCCTGCGTGGAACTTCGATCACGCTCTCGTGTGTGCCGACCTTCGGGTGCGTTTCGGCGGACGTCCGCCGCATCGCTCTGAGCGCATTGACACTAGCCAGCTGGTAAAGCCAGATGTTCCGAATGCGTATTAAACTACGCTGGCATCCGGGCTGAATAAGCCCCTACTGAGCACCGTCGAAGATCACTGGTCACATATTCATCAAATGTTTCTATCAGAAGGCTTGTCTTCATGTGGCAAATCAAAAGCCACCTGTGTCGCAGACGCGACTTCACTCTCGCTCTGAAGGACAGTTTATGATGTATCCGTCTGTTCAATCCGGTTGTGAAACCTATCCCGTCTGGTCGACAGACATAAAGAGGCTAGCCACGTTCGACCATCGCTGCGTTCGCAGCTTAGCTCATACCTGGTAGAAGCACCGCGTTATCAATCATCGTGAACCGCTCACTTCCACTATTACACGCAGCAGGCTCCGTTGGCTTGGCCACGTGTTGCGCATGCCAGCACACCGACTTCTGCGACGTGCATTGTTTGCGCACCGGGGGTGTGGTTGGAAGAGGAGGCCAAGCGATGACTTGGTCAAAAGGAATGAAAACCCCCACTTCGAAGTTAGCGTCGGTTGGTGCATGCCGAGTGTCTGGCGGGGGTCCTAAGGACGATGAACACGTTTGGCTGAATACACTTCTTGACATGACTAGGAGCCTATCTTAATGACGTCTGTTTTCTGTGTTTCTCTGTCCCTCCTCCTCCCGCTCCAATCACGATCTCAGCCATTAGGCATAATGTAACTCCTTTTTTGCGGCACGATAACCGGCAGTTAGTTGTTCGAAACATTGTCCATCTGTTACTGGAAACTCAGCCTGCGTGCCTATGTTTCATATTTTTCTTGTCTTTTGTATTGCGGCACAATAGCTGAGGTGTTTTCCACCTGTAGCTGACGTTAAAATATGGATCGGGTTTTCAGTTGGTGGTAGGGATCAGAACAGCACGCCATGTAATATAGACCAATTATAAATGTATTCTTCGACTTAGTAGAATCGACCACTCCGTTCTGTCTGCTATAATCAATCACATCGGTGTCTTCAAGCAGTATGTGGGCATTTCACGCACCCTGTTTCCAGGCGCCTCAGAGGGCGCGAAATGTCAAACGTCTTTTCGTCAATGAATGGCTTTGATTCGAGTCATCTTATTTCTCTACCTCTTTTACCCTTGCATCCTTGTGAATCTTCGCGATATTCGGGAAGAACCTGGTTGACATCCATTATACAATTAACGTCGTTTGGCTGTCTGGCGATGACAAGAATGCGTTGCCAAACTTAAGCAAGCCTCGTGGTTTTCCCATCCTGTATTCAGCTTCTAAAGCCATTCGCCTCATGACGAGAACACACTGGAATTATGACTGCTTAAGTTAGCCTACACATTATGAAATCACGACTACTGGTTGTCGTAGTTACCTCACTGACTGTGGTATACATTACATTCATCTTTCACTGACGCGTTGGCTTCTGTGGCTATTCCTTAGAGTTCTGAGCCACCTCCGGTGATCATTATACGCCTTTTTTGAATATCTGACGCTGCTTCAGCATGCCGGTTCTGGAGGTGCGGGATTCTATGCAGAGACGGACGACAAAATGCCTGCTTTCGCCGTCCCACTACGTAGTTAGCGCTGACCTCCTTATGAGATGGGCCCCAAGGTAGTTGCAGCTTATTTATAGTGTTATCCGTCGTCGCAAACCGGAAAAGCCATATGGAAGCATCTGGCTGCATATCGTTTTCACACGGATTGCAAGTGAGATGATTAAAACCGGTAAATTCTTCAACATCCGGTTACAGCATTTGTACCCACTCCGGTCTCTCTGCATGTGATGTTGTTACTTCGATCCATGCTTATGCCACCCATGATTGGATGGCTCTATTTGAATGGAATCTAACTTCTGTAGATTAACAGGACTACCGCCACTTTTTACAATGTACACTCCATTGTCAGCTGTCGCGGTCACGTAGTAGTTACTCCTGCTTTTGGTATAGCCGGTGATGGTATGTGGAAAAGGGATCATTTGTAACATCTGTGGCCTTGTGTAAGTCTCCACGATCCTGCTGTCTATATACAAGTCTCAGAAAGCTTCTGTGTAAAGATAACGTCATCAGCTACACATAGCGATTCCTAGTTCCCTTATTCTTACCACTTTTCTCACTTGAATGCATACACACTGACAATTTGAAGTGTGAGCATTCAATATAAAAGCATACTTTGGCTCAGCGATTCACGATCTAATGTATGTTATTTGTTGCTTTCCTTTTAGCCATTCCGTTTTCCAACTTCCCAACTTATTCGTTTGCAGTTTTATCCACTTTCATTGGATGACGTTGTGTGGCCCTTTGGCTACTTTACCAGGAAGCGGATATCACAATTGCGTAGTCCCCTTTGCGTCGGCTTAGCATCAGCTATGACAAGGACGATGGTTAGGTCGCATCAGTCAGCTTCTGCTGACTGTGCGAGTTTACTAGCTGAGAAAAAGTACTTGAGCACCTCGCCACTTTCCACAATATACTCCGGTGGTTTGTTTCAGATTACCTACCACGGTTGACTTGATAGTTCCTTGTGTCCACTTCCGCGTCATTGCTCGTGAATTAATTTGCCCTTGTGCTTTCGCCTCCCTGGGTTTACCAACTGTTTTTAGTTACTACATAGCTCCTGGAGGCAACTATACCATTTCCGAGGCGTTAGTTAATAGAGGAAGCAAATTGGTTCGTAAGCATTTTCAACTTGGTTCGTAAGCATTTCCAACTTGGTTCATAAGCAGTTTCAAGTTGGTGCGTTTCAAAGTTTGGCCAAGATGCACACACGCACCGACGAGTAGCCTCCTCATTGGTCAAACACCGTCGGCCAACAGGATGCCGTGTGTCACTATAGAGCAGATGTTCTCAAGCTTTCGGCACCTGCACCCATTATTAGCG